TTGAATAAAGTATCAATTAAAGTGTCCTAAAACACCTATGTCCTGAGTAGTATATAGCTGCTGGATTGGCAGATAGTACAGACTTGTAAAAGAAGTCTAAGATACACTGACTAATGAGGACCAGATAGCTATAGCCTAGCTTCGGATAGAGTAACAATTGCGGTCACCACAGCTCTCTATATATTAAGTAATATTGCTTCTTGGCAATATGAAATAAATCAGCTAATTAGAGATATCGAGCCAAAACCTAACTACTGAAAATAACACACTCCGAAGTACTGTAGCCTCAAGCTCCTTAACATCTCCTCTATCTCCCCCCACCCAGTGAGCACACAAACAGTGCTAGTGATGAGTTAAAAGCATAACCTAACGCACGTTTCGGCGCTATGCAAGCGCCTTTTTCAAAGGTAAATATGACACTGGCACTATCTCGGTTTATATGTCCTACCTCTCTTATCCGGTGTCCAATCACCGGGCGCATCCTATTAGGCTTGCACGCGCCAAAAGTGAATGGGTAGTCTAAAACTCCTCCCACTCACGTCATATCGGGGGCGGTCCATAGCTCCGCCCATCTACGTCATTATGGGAGCGTGTACTATACTGCCGATATTGCGGGCACTTATAATGATAGTCGCTCACATTTGCTATTTATGCCCAAATATCCTGTAAGGGCATCAAACACCTCAGTTTCAATATTATAGATATTCCAGAGTAGCTAGTAAGTCAGATATCAAATATAGACTGAAAGTCATTGATTGTATCGCAGCATACGATAATTATATCTATTTAAAGGGGTACCAAAAAGATACTGTGTTGAGGGTCAAGCAGAGGTCTGGTTTAATGTGGGCTACCTGCCCAGTATTTATGCAGGTCTCCCACCTGGTGGACACTACCCTAAGGGACCAGATGGAAAACTGTGACAAAGACATTGTAGCAACCAATCACAGAGTACACAGCCATTCCCCTTTTCTTACCCAGAACCCTCTGCTCTGCTCAAGGAGATAATTATGAAGTAATTCAATTATATCCCAGGACAGAGCCCAAACACCATTTTAGGTGATAACAAAAAGACATAAAAATACATAACTGTTATATTTTACAGGCATTCAACAGGTCCCCAGATAGCTGGGATCTGAGCGCCCCAAAGTACTGAATAGTGCTCTGATGCTATGCACACAGTCCAATCGCCGTGGAGCCCAAGTGTTCACAAAGTCAGTTTTCATACGAATGAGCTCCACGGGATTCCTATCTGGGGTATGGTGTATTCGGGTACAACTACCGAATATAGGGCCGTTCGTGCACGTCTACCGAACAAGAAGGGAGGTCAGCGGCTTCAGCGGTGTTCGCGCCAAAATGTATCCGTTTTCAGTTCCATGAGTTGGGCGTCGAACACCGCTGTGCGTTTGCATGTTTAAAATACACCTTGTGTTCGGTATATGAATGGCGGCCACTCAGCATTCGTCAATTGACCTGCGGTTAATCTGGGAGGTTAATTGATGGCACACTCCAGCTCCCACGTGGTCCAGTCATTCGTGCGTTAGTTCGGTAGATTGAATTGGCAGGGGAAAAGAAGGCTTTTAACATGGGGCCATAGTCCAAAGGCAACAGGCGAGCAACCAGGCTTTTCCAATGCAATGTGGCGAGATTGGTCTCGTCACATTCAGCACTAGCAGGTCAGCTCTCGTATTGGTTATGTTGTATGTAGAATACTACATCATCTATGGCATGGATGTATACCATAACTATCACATGGGGATTATATCCTCTGGGGACACAATGTGGGTCTCAGCTTTCGTCTGCCTGCAAGGTGTAAGTTGTAACGGATCACCTTGCACCCCGACTTGGTACCTCCGTTGAAGGATGCTCCTAGCGCTTACAGAGGGCTCCAAGCGCTCCGCATACACCACAACCACCATAGACCCCACGAACCGCCGCAGCTTGGTTGGGGTCTCGCCGTCTCCTACCCACCCTGGACCTACGACAAGGCTCCAAGTTCCAGTGGGTGAACCTCTCCTCCAAGAGAGTGAAGCAGGAGCAAGCTCTTAAAAGAGCTTAGAAGTGATTATCCAAGTGAGCATTCAGAGCATAGCAATCCCTTGTAGTGATATAGCAATTCCCCCAATAAGAGACAGGACTCTAGATTGAGGGTGAAGAAGAACTCTGCAAGAGAGACGCCCACAGATAATTATACAATACCCAATCACACAATGGTTACATCCCACACATCTCCTCCCCTTAGCCTGAGAGGTAACCCAATTATCCGTACATTTTAAAAACTTTTTTTTCCCAACTTTCATAACTCTAAAACCATACATCCAATATTAATAAAGTCACATCAGCACATTCCAAATACAAACATACCCAAAAATCATTCGAATCCGTTCAGCAGTTTGGGAGATACATATAAGTTACTTTTGACAACGAGCATTCTAATCTTCGAACGGGACTTAGTCTCCAGCCGCAGTGTCGAAGTAGAGTAGAACGTATGGGTCAGCGGTGTTCGTGCAATTCAGTAGCCGAAAACAGTTCCATAGATTTGGCTGCACACACCGCTGACCGTGTTCGAATGAGTTAAAATGGCCGCCGCCACGTGTTCGGTATTCGAATGGTGGCCACTTTGGCGACTTCGACAACCTCGACTGTTACTGTGCTTCGACACTACGACTGCATCCGAAGTGCCAGTTTAAAAGTACAAATCCTTTCTTTGGGCATTAAAGGGCCAGGAACAATAATATAAGCCTCAGGTATGCCCACATCAGTTCCTAGAAGGGCAAAACATCCCTCAGGTATGCCCACATCAGTTCTTGCAGGGCAGGAGGCTGGCCAACAGGCCCCTCCAAAAACCAGTGGCGAGGTTACTTTCGCCACATAAGTATACACTAGGGCAGGGGTAGGCAACCTTTTAGCAGCACTGTGCCGATATAGGATTGTGATGTCCCGTAGTGTACCGGTCCTATTTTTTTGTTTTAAATTGAGATGTTGTCGTATTCTGCTTGTGTTATTTTTACTGTAGTTGCTTTTTTTCATTGTATTTGTGCGTATATGAGCTATTATATTGTAGGGATCGACCGATTATCGGTCTGGCCGATATTATCGGCCGATATTTGGTATTTTCGGCAATATCGGTATCGGCCAATTCAGATACCGATATTGCCGATAATATATAACAGGACCGCCGGGCCCATTACAAGCCCGGCGGTCCTGTGGGGGCCAGCAGCAAACGCTGGCTTACCTTGCATGCAGCTCCTACAGCTCTCTGTGTAAATCTCGCGAGACCCGCGGCCGCAGAGCGTTGCCACGGGTTACCATGGCAACGCTCCGCGCGGCACTAAGAGCTGCGAGATTTACATAGGGAGCTGCTTGCAAGGTAAGTCAGCGCTTGCTGCTGCTGAGCCACCACTGTACTTAACAAGCCACTGGACCACCAGGGGATACTATATCCCCCTCCCTGGTAAGAAGCAGGGAGGGGGGACTAAACAAAAAATAAAAAAAACATTTCAATATTAAAAAAAATATTAAAATAAAAAATTACACAAATTACATCACTACACACACACTGCACACATACTGCATTACATACACACTACACAGACACAAACACACACTACACAAACACACACTGGGGGGGGACTAAACAAAATTTTTTTTTAAATATTAAAAAAAATATTAAAATAAAAAATTACACAAATTACATCACTACACACACACACACTACACAAACACACACTGCACACATACTGCATTACATACACACACACTGCATTACATACACACTACACAGGCACACACACTGCATTACATACACACACTACACAGACAGACACTACACACACTGCACACATACTGCATTACAGACACACACTGCACACACTACACTGCACACACACTGCATTACATACACACACTGCATTACATACACACTACACAAACAGTACACATACTGCATTACATACACACACACTACACAGGCACACACACTGCATTACATACACACTACACAAACACACTACACAAACACACACTGCACACATACTGCATTACAGACACACACTGCACACACTACACTGCACACACACTGCATTACATACACACTACACAAACACAGTACACATACTGCATTACATACACACACACACTGCATTACATACACACACAAAAACACACTGCATTATACACACACACTACATAAACACACTGCATTATATACACACTACACACTCTGCATCCACTACACAAACACATACAGTTCCCCTGTCTAAACACACTTCATCCACTACATGTGGCATGTATATTTTGTGCATTTACCTTTCGAATTAGTTTATTTATTCAAAATAGTAAATGTACAGAATATCGGCAAGATATCGGCTATCGGCCTGAAAGTTCGCAGATTATCGGTATCGGTATTGGCTCTAAAAAATCAATATCGGTCGATCCCTATTATATTGTATATGTTCAGGAGTAGTTTGTGGTATCGTGTATGATACATATGAATGTGGGCTGTGTGTGGGGGCTGCTTGTGGAATTGTCAGTGTGAATGGATATGTCGTATTGTGTGTTTGGTAGTGTGTGTATGTGTGGGGGGCTGTTTGGGGTATTTCATGTGAGAGGCTGCATGTGGGGTTGTGTGCATGTATGTGGATTGTTAGTGGTGTTCAGTTTGTGCAGATTGTGTGTATGTCTGTGTGCGGGCTGTCCGTATTATTTGTATGAGGGGAGGGTCTTTCTGCATTTCTGTGTATATCTAGCAGTGTGGGTGGCTTCCCTGGGTTCCAGTGGGGGCCAGGCCGGCCAAGTACAGGTCAAGGAAAGGAGAAGGAACAGCAACTGCAGGCTGCTCTACTGCAGTATGGATTCCCATTCACAAGTGCTGGAATGAAGTGATCTGAATTAGTTATCTGAGATCACTTCCTCTACATGCTACAATGCATAAATTGAGGATTGTCCCACACCTACATTTGTTGGCAATGCCCAATAATTCATAAATTTTGGAGGAGGATCCACACTATCGTACAACTAATATTCCATAAGACTTTCCCTTGTATCCCGGAATATTATATCTTTTTCTTACCACCCCATAAACTCACGACGCTAGAGACGGACCTGTTTCGCCACTTAGTCATGGCGGCTTCCCAACTAATCCCTAAACATTGGAAACAACCCATACCACCTTCAATTCGTGAATGGATACTGAGAGTTGACGATATTAAATTGATGGAAGAAATCACCTTAGCTAAAGTAGGAAAACATGTTAAATTCTTGTCCATATGGGACCCATGGATTAATCACATGCACTGCAACCCTCTCCTACCACAGTAGACTGATCTAACACATACCTTTATCCTCATCGAAAATACAAGCTCTATTCATATACTTCTGCCTCTTCCACCACTCTACCACTGCAGCTTTCTCTTCCGCTCCTTCCTCCCCTGTTGAGGTTGGTGGGAGTTGAAAGTAACCGATTGACAAGACACGACCAACCGTCACTCAATCTTGCTTCCCTGAGGGGACAGCAAGGTACCACCCCCTACTTTTATACACCCGGCTTTTTCCATATATTCAATAGTCCCCCGCCGAGCCTTGGTTTTCCAACCCACCGAGGGGAATTATCCCTTTAGATACACATGAAGCGTACCAGTGTAGACCAGGACTCAGGGTATTGAACTAATGTAATGTTTCCTTTCAATTATCTATTGCTATAGTATTTTTGCTTGTTATGTTATCCTTTCTCAGATGTCTCATCTACCACTATTTTTTGGAGATGACTCTACTACAAAATGTACCTTCCATTATGTGATATTTTAGTACTGTTTAAAATAGTGAAATACCGAAACTGTAATCTCAATGTAATCTCGCTGTACCAAAGCTTATGTTTACCTATGTCAAACGTACAAAACAATAAAAAGATAAATATAAAAAAAATAAAAATAAAAAAAATTTGAGGATTGTCCTTCACCACCTTTTCAAATTAGCAGATATCTGAAGTATAAGTGGGACTCCTGATAGGCCTGAGCAGCCTTGAGTGCCGTAGGTTGCCTACCCCTGCACTAGGGAGTATCTGAATTTATCTACTAAAGTGCGTGGGTGGGTCTATATATGTATTCTTCTACTACAGATATTGAATGGCTACTTTACCTGGTTATCTATAGGGTCCTATGTCAAACTCTGCTGTGATGGGTCCAGGTGAGGATGGTGCTCTCGATGAGGAGGAAATGAGTGAAGAGGAGGTGTCTCGCGACTGGACTCCCCAAGAAAAGGCACTCCATGAAGCTAAGGTGAAGGCCAGAGCCAAATACCGTGTTCGCCGGACCTCATCACGTGACTCAGAGAGCACAGAAACTATTGCTGAAACTCCCATTCCTCAAGGGAAGAGCCATGACAGAAAATCTCGCATGGGCAAGGGAAGAGGTCTTCCTAAGAAAGGTAAGAGAATTATGTAAGAAATAGGAAAAGTGGTTACTGGAGACTTGACCACATGCACTGGGTATGAAATCTACTCTTGTGCTGAGGATTTGGCCACATTCCCAGTACATAGGAGAAAGTGAGGATAAGTGTAGAAGTGCTACAACTGTACTCCTTTCTTTAGCATTTAAGGAATGCATGATGTCTGCCTTGGGTAAAATGGAAGGTTGATGGTCAGAAAAGATCTTATGGTGAGCCGCTAAGGCATTAGAGAGGCTTCTACAAGCGGCTGATCTAGAAGGGAAACATTTCAGCCAAGTGCCGGTCTACAATAGGGTAGGAAGATGAATTGCAGATCATTCCTTAGAACAGATTAGTTGCAAGATTTGTAGCACTAGGCTGTTCTAGAATGGGTAAGTTGTAGGTTTTGTGGTGCTGAGCTGCTCTAGAATGGGTTAGGTGTAGGTTTTATGGTGCTGATCCATCTTCTCAGTTAAATGGGTTAGGTGTAGGTTTTGCAGTGCTGAGCTGCTCTAGAATGGGTTAGGTGTAGGTTTTATGATATTGAGCTGCTCTAGAATGGGTAAGTTGTAGGTTTTGCAGTGCTGAGCTGCTCTAGAATGGGTTAGGTGTAGGTTTTATGGGGCTGAGCTGCTCTAGAATGGGTTAGTTGTAGGTTTTGCAGTGCTGAGCTGCCCTAGAATGGGTTAGTTGTAGGTTTTGCAGTGCTGAGCTGCTCTAGAATGGGTTAGGTGTAGATTTTATGGTGCTGAGCTGCTCTAGAATGGGTTAGTTGTAGGTTTTGCTGTGCTGAGCTGCTCTAGAATGGGTTAGGTGTAGGTTTTATGGGGCTGAGCTGCTCTAGAATGGGTTAGGTGTAGGTTTTATGGTGCTGAGCTGCTCTAGAATGGGTTAGGTGTAGGTTTTGCGGTGCTGAGGGAGTATTAAAAAGGGCCGCTATACAACATCCCTCTTGTTTTTTTTGTTTTTTTTTTACTTTTTCACAGGTGGTGCTGGAGGAAAGGGAGTGTGGGGGGCTCTCGGTCAGGTGTACACTTACCAAGAGCCAGACGTACAAGACCCCAATTATGATGAATCTGCCCAGGTAATAGTATTTAAGGGAAGTATTTAAGTATTTATTTTGCATGTTTTTGTCGCAGTGCATTCAATGTCTCTTTTCCCGTCTATTTGGTTATATTTGCATTTTAACCATAATTTTTTTACATACACCATTTTTCCCCCCAGCACAACAGTTTTATGAATTGTAGCGTTTTGTTTCTCTTCATGTTTTCTTCCTCCTATAAACGTTTTGCACTTCTGAAAAGGAAATTCCTGAGAAAACTGGTGAAATTTATAATAAAGAAAACTGTCACTTTTTAGATCACTTTAATAAATCCGATTAAATTAATGATGGGATTTAAACGTCAGCTTTCAGAACATTATGAGAAATACCCCCATTAGTGTTGGTACTTGCTGACCTTGTATTGTGTGAGTTATTCTCTCTATAATTATATTAACACTGTAACACTATGTATAAACATACTGTCAGCTGTCTCTCCAGCGTATGATGTAGGTACACACTCTGCCTCTTATATCTGACACACAGGGCAAAACCGTATATCACAAGGTGGTACCTGAACTCGACGAGGTCGGCCTACAGCACAACGTACAACCAATGGTTCGAGAATACTTCGAGCACGGAGACACAGAGGAGGTTATAGTAAGTAATGAGTGTATAGCGCTCTCTCAGTATATTAATACAGTGGAGGTCACTCAGACTCATTACTGGGAGTATTATTGCCGTGGAGCTCTGTTACACACAGACACATTACTGGGAGTATTATTGCTGTGGAGCTCTGTTATACACTCAGACACACACTCCTAGAAAAGAGGGACAGAGGGATTTAGACCCCAAATAGGGACTCTCCCTCTTAAACAGGGACACTTGGTAGGTATTGTAACGGCATCCCCCAGGCATAAAAGGGGCTAAAAGCCGTTTGGGAGATCTTTCCCTTCCAGAGATACAGGCACAGCTACTGCAGAACATCAAACTCCCGAACCGCATGTAAGGGAAGGCTCCAAACTCCCGAACTGGAACCTCACGAATAGCTGCCAGCAGACGAACAGGAAAAGCACCCAAGCGGCTTACACTCCTAGCAATCAGTCTCTATCAGCATTCAGTAAATCCCCCCCCAAAGACGAGACAAGGCTCCGTGTTGAGGGTCAAGCAGTGGTTTAATGAGGGCTACCTGCCCAGTATTTATGCAGGTCTCCCACCTGGTGGACACTCCCCCAGGGGACCAAATGGGAGACTGGGACACAAATAGTACAATGACCAATCACAGGCAGACATGGTTAAAACACTCCCCCAATACATTACAATACCTCCCCTCAATCCTGGAGATAATTGGGAAGTAATCCAATTATCTCCAAGGACATAGGCAAAACTCCATTACCCACATGGTTACAGTAAAATACTAAAACACAATAAAATACACAATATTACATTTATCACACAAAATATATACTTGCAACCCATCCCCAGATAGCTGGGATCGGAGCGCACAAAAGTACCGAATAGCGCTCAGATCCTATGCACACAGTCCAATCGCCGTGGAGCCCAAGTGTTCACAAAGTCAGTTTTCATACGAATGAGCTCCACGGGATTCCTATCTGGGGTATGGTGTATTCAGGTACAAACTATCGAATATAGGGCTGTTCGTGCACTTCTACCGAACAAGAAGGGAGGTCGGCGGCTTCAGCGGTGTTCGCGCCAAAATGTATCTGTTTTGAGTTCCATGAGTTGGGCGTCGAGCACCGCTGTGCGTTCGCGTGTTTAAAATGTCCGCGACCTCGTGTTTGGTATACGAATGGCGGCTACCCAGCAGTCGTCAATTAAGCTGTGGTTAACTGCAGCTTCTGGGAGGTTAATTGCCGACACACTCCAGGTCCCAGGTGGTCCAGTCATTCGTGTGTCAGTTCGGTAGCTTGAATCTTCCGAACACCGGGCAGAAAGGCACGAATAAGCCTTTTCTGCAGGGGAAAAAGAAAGCTTTTAACATGGGGCCTTAATCCAAAGGCAACAGGCGAGCAACCAGGCTTCCCCAATGCAATGTGGCGAGATTGGTCTCGTCACAGGTATGATTATAGGATGCTTGTTATACATTTTATTTCACAATCTCTGTACAGCATAGAGGAAACATTTGGTGTTTAATAAATTAATAAATGTCATGTTCTTCTGCTAGGCTTTACTAAAAGAGCTGAATTTGGGAAAGCAGAGCTCTGGGGTACCCCGGGTCGCTGTGTCCCTGGCATTGGAAGGAAAGGCCAGTCATCGAGAGCTGACATCCCGTCTCCTTTCAGATCTGGTGGGGAAGGTGCTTTCTGAAGAGCATATTGCTGAAGCCTTCGATAGAATGCTGTCTGAGCTTCCAGATCTTATATTGGACACACCTGAGGCCCCACAGGTATGATTCTCACCTTCTATAAACCTGACCTTTCACAGACATGAGTGTCCCTCCCATTGCAGAGTGACACAGACAGAAGGAGCTATGGGACACAGAGTCTGTCCCTCCCACTGCAGGGTGACACAGACAGAAGGAGCTATGGGACACGGAGTCTGTCCCTCCCACTGCAGGGTGACACAGACAGAAGGAGCTATGGGACACAGTATGTCCCTCCCACTACAGGGTGACACAGACAGTAGGGAGCTATGGGACACAGTCTGTCCCTCCCACTGCAGGGTGACACACAGAAGGAGCTATAAAATTCTTACTTTAGAGTATAACCCTATTAGTATCGTAATATAGTCTGGAGATAAACTGGAGGTAATCTGAGGTATTCAGGAGGATACAGTTGCAAGAAAAAGTATGTGAGCCCTTTGGAATGATATGGATTTCTGCACAAATTGGTCATAAAATGTGATCTGATCATCATCTAAGTCACAACAATAGACAATCACAGTCTGCTTAAACTAATAACACACAAAGAATGAAATGTTGCCATGTTTTTATTGAACACACCATGTAAACATTCACAGTGCAGGTGGAAAAAGTATGTGAACCCCCTAGACTAATGACATCTCCAAGAGCTAATTGGAGTGAGATGTCAGCCAACTGGAGTCCAATCAATAAGATGAGATTGGAGGTGTTGGTTACAGCTTCCCTGCCCTTCCTGTTCATCAGTCCACGGTAAGACAAATGGAGAAAGTTCAGCACTGCTGCTACTCTCCCTAGGAGTGGCCGTCCTGTAAAGATGACTGCAAGAGCACAGCGCAGACTGCTCAATGAGGTGAAGAAGAATCCTAGAGTGTCAGCTAAAGACTTACAAAAGTCACTGGCAAATGCTAACATCCCTGTTAGCTAATCTGGATTTCATGGGAGGATACCACAGAGGAAGCCACTGCTGTCCAACATTGTTGCAAACGGTAATTGGAGGCACACTTACTATTGGGTCTGACTGTTCGGTAGTTTCACCCTCATAATAACTGGAGTGATTCTACCGAATACATAGGAATAACTGTAATTTTTAGGACAGCCCAATGCCATCCGCTACACTGCTCCCCCTTGCCCACAAGCCGGCATACACAGTCTAACCAGCACGGATCGGCTTGGGGATGTCCGGGGTGCTCACGGATCATTTTTCCAAGTCTGATTGTCTAGACAACCCGTCAGCGTTTCCATTTTGTTTGCTCGGGCGGTACTGAATGTTAAAGTGGCTGCAGCTCCAAACTCCAGCGCAGCAGCCTGGCATTGTCCCCAGCCACCCGGTTCAGCCATAGTAACGGGTTGTGATCCGTGAGCAAAGAAAAGGGCTGTCCATACAAATACAGCTGCAGTTTCTTTAGGGCCCACACCACAGCCAGGCATTCCTTCTCGATTGCGGCGTAGCTTACTTCTCTGGGTAACAACTTGCGACTGATGTAAGCCACGGGATGTTCTCCGCCATCGGCCCGACTTGGCTCAGCACTGCCCCCAATCCAAACATAGAAGCGTCTGTGTGAACAAAGAAAACGGTTAGTTGGATTGGGAGCTGCCAAGACAGGGGCATTGATAAGTGCATTTTTCAGATGTTGGAATGCCTGCTCACACTCCGGGGTCCAGCTTACTTGGCGGGGAAAGTTCTTACGGGTTTGGCCAGGGCGCTATAATTGGGGACAAACTTCCTATAGAATCCCGCTTTCCTGAGAAATGCTAGCACCTGAGTCTTAGTCCTAGGCGTGGGCCATTGGGCTAAGGCCTCTACTTTGGCTGGTTCTGGTTTCTGTTTCCCACAGCCCACTCGATGGCCCAGGTATTGCACCTCGGCCATCAGTATACTACATTTGGCCGGTTTCAACGTCAAACCGGCCTCCCTAATCCTGTCTAGAACCGCTCCTATATGGGCCAAGTGCTCCTGCCAGGTATTGCTAAAAATGGCAATATCGTCCAGATATGCGCAGATGTAGTCCTGGAACCCATCGAGGAGTCGGTCCACCATCCGCTGGAAGGTAGCCGGAGCGTTTTTCATCCCAAACGGCATGACCTTAAAGTGGTACAGGCCGAATAGGGTGACAAAGGCCGACATAGGGATGGCGTCCGGAGCCAAGGGAATCTGCCAATACCCCTTACACAGATCAATAGTAGTGAGATATTGGACTCTGGCCATCCGGTCTAGCAGTTTGTCTATCCTGGGCATAGGACCGTCCCGCTTTGGTACGAGGACTACTGGAGAAGCCCAGGGGCTGTCCGAGGGCTCAATCACCCCCAGTTGGAGCATCTCATCGATCTCCTTGCGCATATTCTCCCGCACAGCTTCAGGGATGCGGTATGGGGTCTGGCGCATGGGGAGTTGGCCTGGGGTTTCTACCCGGTGAGTAGCTAGAGGAGTGTACCCAGGCACATTAGAGAAGGTATCTTGCTTCTCTCTTTGCAGCTGTTGTACCTCGATACGCTCCTGTGGGCTCAGCCTGTCTCCCACCATAACTTCTCCTAAATCCCCAGACAGCTGTCTGTCTCCCAGTAGATCTGCGTTGGCGCGTCTGAGCCGCCTGAAGGTTCTCCTTTACCATCCTAGTTAGTGCTTCTAGGCGGTCTCGGAGCGCCAACACATATGGTACAATGGGGGTACCGTCTGCGCTCCGGTCTCCCTCCCAATGTTCCCTAATTAGGTCCAGAGGCCCTCTTATTCTCCTCCCGAATAAGTTTGAATGGGGAAAATCCGGTGGATTCCTGCGGCACCTCCCTGTAAGCGAAGAGGAGGTGGGGCAGGAATCGCTCCCAGTCCTGGTGGGTCTCAGCAAAGGTTCAGAGCATTTTTTTTTTTTATGTACCATTGAACCGCTCGCAGAGCCCATTGGTCTGGGGATGTTAGGGGGCACTGATTATCGGCTTAACGTCGCAGAATTTCCAGAGGTGCTGTGAACTGAGTACCCTGATCCGAGATGATCTCCCTGGGTAACCCCATCCAGGAGAAAACCTGCATCAGGGCCTCAGCCACGGTTTCTGCGTGGATATTTGTCAAGGCCACCGCCTCTGGGTAGCGGGTGTCGTAATCTACCACCGTTAAAATGTACTTCTTGCCAGAAGGGCTAGGTTTCCGAAGGGGACCTATGATATCTATGGCTATTCTATGCAATGGTTTCTCAATTATCGGTAGCGGATGCAACTTTAACTTCCGCCGGTCCCCCCTCTTCCTTACCCTCTGGCACGTATCGCAGGTACTGCAATATTTACGTACTTCCTGGCTAACTCCTGGCCAAAAGAAACTCTTGGTCAGTCAGTATCGGGTACGACTGACCCCCAAATGCCCGGATAGCGGAATATCGTGAGCTATCCGGAGTAATTTGGCTCGGTACCTCTGTGGTACGACTAGCTGCCTGCTTGCACCGTTCCGTCTGTCGCATCCCTCTGCTCGGTGTCCGAATCATCCTCTGTTCGGTATTCTGCCATTACTTCAGAGATGAGTGTTGCCTTTGTTTTGTTGCTGGCTGGAATACCTCTTGCTTCCAGAAGATCTTTCAGTGTGGATCATTTTAATGTGGAGTACTCAATCTCCATTAATCCTTGTTCCTTTGTGAGTCTGGATCCCAGCGCTGCCAACCAACGTAGCGGAGAGCTGTTATTCCACAGGTTATCTCCACTTAAGATCCAAGTGAGGCTCAGGAACAAGTATTAAAAATCCATAAGGCAATAATTCCAGCAAGCAAGACAATCCAACAATATCCCAACATCAATTCCAATGACTGGACGACACACAGCATCAGGAGCAGAACTGAACTTTTAATCACACAACCTTCTTTTAAAGCATTCTCCCATGCAAGGAAGGGATTTACAGTAATTACACAATACACCAATCATAAATGAGTTGCCATCCACACATCCCCTTAGTGTGACACATAATCCCCTTATGCAGGACTCAAATTCCCTGGGTTTCTGGATGTACCCCTAAACATAGGGGTACCCCTTTAAATATTACATCCCCTGGTAGCCCTGATCTGGGTGAGACACATATCCAAAAATCACCCAGATCGGACCAGGGGTTCAGGAAATTCCTGGAAGTACTAAA